CTCTATCTTTTTAATTCACGCACATCTTCTCATTGGGTATTGGTGTCAGCTTTCAGTATTGTTCGTAAGAGTGACTTATTTGGATTCAAAGGCCGTGGATGGACTAAGAAAAGCCATTAGCAGAAACATAGCAGTATCAAGCGAGATAGAAAACTGGACTCTGGAAGGAAAAACAACAGCAGCGTTTTGGTTAGTTAGCGTTCATTAGGTAGATAATGAGCCATTACTTGTGTTTGGTGAGGTAATGAGCATTGCTGCATTCAGATGATTTTCTCACATTATTAAAAGTGTCTTTCATTGCCGTCTTAGTGCTAATAGTGTGATGTTTAGAAATTTTCATTTGATTAAGCACTAATGCAAAGTCCTAAAATTAGAGAAAGGCTATTAATGTTTCAATAGAGGAGTTTGTTGAGGGACAGATCGTAATATTTGCGGTTATTTTGACAGTAATCTAAATTTGAAGCAACACTGTGAATATAATGATTTTAATGTGACCTTTAATGGGTGGAAAGTTTCCTAAACTGTCATTTTTTTTGAAAGTAAACAAAATATATTTATTGAAACAAATTGTCTAAGGCTTGGTAAATTTGATTAAATTTCCATAATTGTATTCAAAGTGTCCATCTATCAATTTCTTAATTTTTCTCTGCATCATCACTGAATTCACTCATTGTGGACAAATTTTTTTGGATCAATGCAGTAGTTATTGCAAACAAAATACATTTTGCCAAGGAATATTTTTACTAAACATTTTACAAAATATAGTCCAGGATATCAAGGACAAGAATGTCCCAATTAAAGGCCATTAAAGGGGACCTATTATTATATAAAAACAAAAGGGTTTAAACACAGTTAGTGTGGCAACAGTGTGTGGATATAGCCAACCTCTAAAGCCTGAATGTAACGACGTTGATGTGTTTGCGGAGGTTCGCTTTGGGTGCACGTGACATGATTTCGGCTGACGGTGTTCACGATTTTTTATTTTTTTTTATTTGAGCGAACAGTGCATATGGGCCGCGTATGATTTGAGTTGAATATGAAACACTTTGAAGAGATTTAGTTTGAAACAGTACGACTGTACAGAAATCTTTATGATCTGTCCAAGCATTATTATAGGGATAACCAGATGACCAATAATTCTTGGCTAGAAATTGCAACGGTAGGAAAGGAGGAAATTTTTTGTTTAAGAGTTTGGAAAAACCTGAGGGATAAATTTGTTATTGTCAAAAGAGGCCATGGCCAGCTACACAATTACAGATTATGGTTTTCCACCATTCATCGGTTTTCCATTGATGTATATATAAAAAATTTTGAACTAAAAAAAATATTACAAAAAAATATAATTAAAGAACAAATTATATCTTAGATAACTGGATATTTGAACCTATCAGTTTACGATATACTGGTGCCTGTTTTTCTTGGCTTTATTGGTGATAATGGTCAGGAATGTTGGACCATTATTGCCTTTTTAGCATATAACCACATGACAGAAACTAACCAGACAGTAATGTCAATTGTAGAGCGAGTATAATATCTCTATTTTTTAGTAAATTTACTTTTTTTGCTTTTATTCTTGCCATAATAAAAAAATAGGCAAAACTGTCAGAGAACAATAGCAAGTGATGCATCAAAGTTTGATTTAAAAAAAATCTAGAATGTTTATAAAAATGCTTTTAATCATTAAAATAATTTATTCAAATTGTAAAAATAATTACTTTAAAAAATCTTGAATGATTTTAATGATATGATGTATTACCAGAAACTTTCTACTTCTTTGTTTATCCGTCTGATGGTCAGTTTTTTTGACCGGCCCCTGTCATATTAAAGAATATCTCAACGGTGAGTGCGGCAAGTATAAAAGCCTTGTCCATTTCATGAGGAGCGTGCACAGTCATTGGGGGTCCACGACTTGGCGCCAGGTGAAAGTATAAATCAGGCTTAATGGTAAAAGTTCATTAATTTTATTTTTTATAATCACAGTTCATGAAAACTGAATAGTTTCTGCAGAAAAGTTGGCAGAGACACTCTGATTGACATTCGCCTTTTGTACATGTCATCTAAGGGGGAAAGCCCCACCCATTAGTGATGATCTCTCCCTCATTAGCATAAACAACAGCCCTGGGTGAGATGCAGTCGTTCGCCATTAGAGTTTTTACCTGCTGGAAGATAATGTCAGTGACTAAAAGCAGTGCTTTCCACAGGTTTGAAATATACTTGCAGTGGTAGCCGGACTGAAACACACCTTTTAAAAAAGTGATTTTTACCAATACTTTTATTTATTATACATGGCTTCTTTTCAAGTGTCTTTTGACTGTTTGAAATCCACTATTAGTAAAAATCCACTATGTGTTTTACTTTTATTCTATTCAGGAGCCATGTGCACACACTGACAGGTATTATCTGTAAAGTATTGCCAAAGCATGTTAGATGTGTATAAAATATGAAATAAATTAAAATAAATGACATAAAGAAATAAAAACATCTTTGGAATACAGATCTTTAAAAAGTATACTAATTACAAGAATAAAAAGTGTAGCTTATTTAAAAAAGGCAAATTATTTAATTAACCATTTCTAACGGTGTACAGCCAGATTAGATGTAATTTTTTTCTCTGAGTAAGTAGAAAAGTTGTTTAGATCAAAGAATGAATTATATAACGTTCCTCTTGGTCTTGCGGCTGGGCACACAATGTCAGCTACGAAGACAAGCAAGAGTGAATCAGGCTTAAATTAAAAATGACAATGGCTTAGAAAGCGAAACCAAAGGCAAAATCCCGGATAAGTTAGGAGATTTAGAAGCCTCGAACGGACGCAATTTTAAGTCCCAAAAAGGCCCATCTCTGTGGGTCTCTGCAGAGCATGTAATGTTGACAGTTCTTGCGCACACACAACGATAAGTAGGAAACGAGTAGGGGGAGAGGAGATTTTCCAATAGTTAATTGATTGTGGATGTTTGGCTGTTGCGTGGATACAAAAAAGTCTATGTGTAGGAAGCATTGATGAGGATTATAAATGTAGAGTTTTAGGATGCACAAATAAACCCTGTAGTCTCCATTAGCTGCCTTCTTTTCACATTTTCAGTTTTTTACACAGATAACGTCAGTCCTGTTTTGAAGCTGCTGCTATGCTGATGCATAGGTGTTTGTAGCTTGGGCCTCTTTTAAAAACAGCACAATCTCGTTTGAATTTAAAGCGACAGTCATCAAAATGACCCAACTAGGATCAAAGCCTAAAAGGGGCAGATTCAAAGAGTTATAAAACATTATTTGTGCAGTAGCTTGAGCTGAAACTTCTCATACACACTACATTGACATCAGAAACTTATTTTACAAAGGGGCATAAAACGTGGCAAGATAGGTCTCCATTAATACTGCATCTACTGTCTTCCATTTTGTTGGCAAGGCTTCACAATGTGACATAATATACACAGACAAATATCTGTCATTTAAAAATTTAACATAATTTAATAAAAATGTTACCGGTGAGTTGTTACAATTTTTTATTTTATTCCAAATATTTACTGTCACACTGATACAATTGAAGTAAAACATATTAATAATTAGTAATAATTTCTATATTACTGTAAAAAAAAGTATCAAAATGTAAATGTAAAAATAAAATGTCTCAATTTGGATGTTTGCATCAAATTTACAATAGTTATTTAATTTTTAAATACCTTTAGTAAAAATAAAATGTCAACATTTGAGTAACTATTACAGCACTAAATAAATGAAAACATTTATTTTTCAAATATGTCCATTCAGAGTTGTTTATATAATTTGTCGGTCATCCAAAGATTTTTTTTCCTGTTTGTTTCGATGTTGACACAAAACAATAGCATATATGAGTTGCCGGATATGGTAAAAGGTGAATGTGCCATCCCTTCAAACACTAGCAGAGCGCAGGAGATTATGACTGAAGACGAGTGAACATTACTGAGTGAACATTTTGATGATTCATACAATAACCTACCCTGCAACAGGGCATTTGCTGGCCGTTTGTTAAGGAAAGAATCAGCAAATACTGATACTGCATGGGACTTCATCAGAGCTTGACAGGAACTTTTGTCAGTACAGTTCATGGACCGGTTTCTCCTTCCTTCAGATCACAAACTGTAAGTGTGATTAAAATAGTTGCCTCCTTGTTTTCTACTTGCTTGCAAAATATGTATTTAATTATGTTTTGTTACTTGTAATCACTCCCTGCGGCTTGTTTTTTATCTGGTTAACTTTATTTTATAATTTTAAAATAGTTAAACTTTTGCCACTGTGTGAATTAATACTGAATGTGTGTCATGGTTGAGAATAGAGTAATATGTTGGTGTTAAACTGCATTGCTTTAATGCACTCCTGCATTGGACTCACATATATACACTGCACTCTGATTACTTCAACAGTGTTGATAAGCCATGGTGGGAGTTTCTTTTCATGAAGAACGCAGTACATCAATCGCAGAAGTATGGGTCATCAGACCAATCATCACAAATTAGCTTCTTGCAAAGGAGTTTGAGATTGAAGAATTCGCTGAACAAATCATATGGGAGTCTTTGAGATAATTAGTTAAAAATAAATGATTATTATAAGACAACGGAAGTGTTTTTGTTTTGTTTTTTTTTACCTTGCAGCATATCAGCCTTTTGTTAAAGACCTCCAAAACCAAAATATGACCCTTTTATAATGCATAATAGGGGCTCTTTAAACAGCATCCTTATTCTGAACATATTTTTATATAATATTTATATAACATAAAACTTAAAACATACCATTGGCACTATTATTATTGCACTGAAGAAGTGAAAAGCTGATAAAATATTGTAAAGGCATAATTTAAACCTGCTATGCCCATTCAAGTGCCAAAAACCACCACGTAACAGCCATCTTAAATAACCTTGTATGTTGTTTTATAAGGGAAAAAATGCACATCTTTGCTACATTTCTGCAAAACAAGACTAATCCAGACAATGTTACCAAGAGCTGACAAAGCTGATAAAGGACATCTCACCTGCATAGAGGCTCCTTCCACACGTGCCACGTATGCAAGACGATCTAAGACAGTCACTGTCACAGGGACGGCAACAAAGAAACCACTAACAAATGCTTTGAAGTACCGTCGCCCAAAGCCCGTCTGCGCCATTGCCTGAAGAGAGAGAAGACAAAATAACCTTGACTTATTCAAGCTATAAAGAGTTTAGCTAGGCAATTTAAAGCACTTTTCCTGAAGTCAGGTAACATGAAAGTTCAACAAAATATGGATGTTTTTTGTTGTTTAGTTACTGTAAACAAGCATCTCCACATGAAAGAGGCATGGTTCAAGGACATGTTGGATACGCACAGACCAAAAACCAAAAGCAGACCATGCTTATGTCCCTCATGAGAACATAATATATTTTTCTATATTTTTGAGTCTATTCATGTTTTTCAAACTCTGAAGTTTAAAAGTCACAAAAAGATATTCAAATATGAAGAAGTTTAACAAGAGCTCTCTCTCTCTCTCTCTCTCTGACTGGATCAAACTGTGAATTGGTAATTGGAGACTAATTGTGATCAGATCACATGAATAAGCCTTCTTCCCGCACACAGACTATACATTTGATGACAATTTTATTTTTTATTTATTTATTTATTTTTTACCAATATTGCGACACTTTTTTCGTATCCGCCGAAGATAGCCAAACATCCACGTTCGATTAACCATTGAAAAATCTTCTCTCGCTATACACATTTCATACTACTTATTGTGTGTGCACGAGAAGTGTCAACAACACTTAGACAGTTTCACATGCTCCTCAGAGACCCACAGAGATGCGCCTTTTTGAGGCTTGAAAATGCGTCCAGCGACTCTGACCAGTGTAATCTCCTAAAATGTCTAGGCGCTGACTTTTGCTTTCGCTTTCTAAAGTTGTTGTGTTTTTGCATTACTCTTTTATAAGACTACTTCCCACTTGGCTTCAAAGCTGAGAGCATGCACAACTGAAAGAAAAAGTAAATAACAAATTCTTTAATATAAACAATCAAAAAAAAAACTTTATGAAATACTCACAGAGGACGAAAAGACATTTAAACTGGCTGCAAAATATATGTACATTTTTGTTGTAATTATTAAATAGAAAGAAAAGTGATGTTAAATGATATTTTTACCATTTAAAAAATTTGCATACTGATTACTAGGAAAACTCCTGAACACATTTAAATGCATATATTGGGGTCCGGATGGCCAGTCCTCCACTGAACCTTGGTCCCACATTTATTTCAAAGAAGCGTTACCCTGTACTAAAATGGCAGCTCTATTGACACATTCCTTCCAATAGACAACAACAGCTTAGGCAACATCTAATGTAAATATCTATGGTCTTGACAACACAAACACTGCTGTTAACAGAAACCTGAAAAAAAACGTGACTGACGTAACGCGCCTTTTCTGCTCAGAGTTTAATTTTTCCAATTGCAAGATCACATCGCAGCAAAAACTCGAGGCGCAGCATGCGGTAAAAACGCGAGGCATGCAGGGCGCATAAGCAGTGCGCAAAGGCACGCGGCTGTTAGTAAATCATATTCAGTGTGATCGGCTCTCTAACTCTTGTCTTGTCATTTTTTGAGTTAAAAATGAACCTATTTTCAAAATAAAGTTGAGTGTATTTTTAAGTCTATAAATGAAGTTAATAGTTCATAATTGTCCATCTTTTTCATCCTCAAACACCAACATTACACAGTAAAGAAAACTTAAAGTGTAAAACCTATAATAAAACCAATTTAAATGAACTACAAGAGCATAAGTACTACATGTTTAACCTTACACTCCTAACTGTGAGTCGTCTTGTTTTGATTCAAACTCTAAGGGGCTAGTGAGGTCAAAAAGAAGAAAACACATTTATAAAGCAAGCAATTAAATAATAAATGTAGTAATTGCAGTTATCTGTGAACATCTGTGGGCCGCTTTTGCGAATGACAAAACCCTGTACACCCAACGCATTAGGGCAGAAAACCTACTGAGGCATTGAAATTGAATCTGACAAGAGTGCATTTGCTCTAATACCATTAATTGTCGGTGTGATGCTTGATTTGGAGATACACGGCACGCAATTAGGCTTCTAATTTATTGTACAATTCGCCACAGTACCAGAAAGATGAAGAGCGGCTTGCAGTATCTCGCCCCCAAACAAAGCCCTCAAGGTCTCTTACAGCAACTTTGCAGACTTACTGGTAAGCACTTGAAGAAACACTTGAAGCCATTTGCTCACAGGAGGGCATTCAAGAGGCTCAGAAATCAGAGGCTACAACAACTGAGAAGAGGATCTGGGAGAATTGAGGCTCAGAGGAAAATGCTGAGCGAATCACAATCAAGGGAAAGATTTGTCAGGGTGGCACTGCTGTGGTTGCCAAAAAAATATAACCAAAGAAATAAATAAACGGACACTTTTTCAGAGTCTCTGCTGTGCATGTTGGCTACGCACATTTCAATCTAATATGAATACAGTTAACATTTGACGCTATAGCATTCGGATGAAGTTTTGTAAAAATGTGAAAGAGTACAAAAAATATTTGAGGATGAAGTTATAAAGAATCATAAAATCATGAGATATAAAGTCAGAAATAATTTTTTTTTTAAATCACAGCTGTTTTGAATTAAATAACAATTTTTAATGAAAGATGGGGTGGCATGTTGGCACGCCCCGGTGATGGGTTGCAGCTGGAAGGGCATCTGCTGCGTAAAACATAAGCTGGATACAGGCACGTGCACACATAGGGCTCAACCTGTGCAGTGCACATGCCCTTTTTAGTCTTGGATAGAAAGTGCCCTTTCAAAATGATCGAAAGTGCTCCCGTGATACACCCCCCCTCCCCCGTACCTTCAGTAGGCGCGCGACAACACCGCTCTTGAGTACCCCCCACCCCCACGCGCGCGCGACAACACCACTGACCAGAACGTGCGCGACAACACCGCTCTTCAGTACGCGCGCGACAACACCAACACTAATTACTAATCAGATAGTATATTGATCATATAAAAGAATAAAGCAAAACTGAATGTTCTGTATTATTGTCAAACATTCTAATATACAAATACAGTTCAAGTCAGAATTATTAACACCCCCCCCACATATTTTTCCCCCAATTTCTGTTTAACGTAAATATATTTTTCTAAACATAACTAACTCTACTTAATAAAAGATTTCTAACTGTCTTCTTTCTTTTTTCATGATGACAGTACATAATATTTAACTATCTAGTTTTCAAGATATCAGTACTCAGCATAATGTGCCATTTAAAGACTTAACTAGGTTAAAAAATTCAGTAAGTTAAGGTCATTAGGCAAGTCATTGTATAACGGTGGGTTGTTCTGTAGACAATCTAAAAAAATATTGCTTAAGGGGGCTAATAATATTGAATTTCAAATGGTTTAAATTAAATTAAAAACTGCTTTAATTCTAGCTGAAATGAAACTAAAAAAGACTTTCTCCAGAAGAAAATTATATTATAGAAAATACTGTGAAAGGTTTGTTACTCTGTTAAACATCATTTGGGAAATATTTAAAAAAAATTAAAAAAATTCACAGGAAAGCTATTTTGGACGTTAACCTACTTCATGATAAATTAAGTTATTTCAAATAACAAATGGATATTTTTCTCCTCATTAACAGTTCTAAAACTAAAATTAAACAACAGCATACAATAATCAACAACTATAAAAACAAGAAACTGTTTTAGAAGTTGTCACCTTGGAATTATAAGGTTCTATCTGCGTTCTAAATTATTTTGCTTTAAAGTTTTTGCATTCCATAGCAAACAGTATGTCTGTAACATTTTTTTTTCAATAAAAAGTCTTAAAATGTAAAAAACTTATCAAAAAACATCCAATAATGTTAATAAGTTGTCATTTAATAAGAATATGTAAATTTTGACAAACATGTCAGAAAGAACCTTATACTTGTAAGATGATGAAGTGTAGACTTTTCTAAAAAAGAACATTTGATTAAACATCAAAGTATTCTGTACATTAAAGTCAGTATTGGTTAGTTCAATGGTACTACTCAGGGCAATTGTATTGATTAAATATACACATATACATAACGTCCATTTGTTTTCCCAATTTCTGTTTTACAGAAAGAAGATTTTTTCAACACACTTCAAAAAATAAAAGTTTTAATAACTCGATTCTATTAACTGATTTATTTTATCTTTGCCATCATAACTGTACATAATATTTTACTAGATATTTTTCAAGACACTTCTATACAGCTTAAAGAGACATTCATAGGCGTAACTAGGTTAATTAAGTTAACTAGGCAGGTCAGGGTACTTAGTCAAGTTATTGTTTAACGACGTTGTTTTCTGTAGACTATTGAAAAAAATATAGCTTAAAAGGATTAATAATTTTGACCTTAAAATGGTTCTTAAAAAATTTAAAACAGCTTTTATTCAAGCCGAAATAAAACAAATATGACTTTTTCCGAAAGAAAAAATATTTTCAGAAATACTGTGAAAATTTCCTTGCTCTGTCAAACATCATTTGGGAATATTTAAAAGAAGAAAAAATTCAAAGGGGGGCAAATAATTAATCATTCATCATTCAATAATTCAGACTTCAACTATATATTTCTTGAACCCTATGAAGAACAATTAGTCTCGCAATAAGTGTCAAAACTCACAAAATTTTCATATCTAGATTTTCTTGAACAATTCACAAGTACAGAATTAATACTAATTCAGATTCATCTTGTAGATAGAAACGTCTTCTATTTTTAAGCATTCCCTCGCTTATATTCACACAAAGATGCATCTCGCACTAGAGTGCCACTAATGAACTATTATGACAACGAGTGGCTAAATTATCCATGGTTGTTCTGGGCAGACCTGCCAAGTGCCAGCTGTCAGGTTTCTCTAACAATAATCCCTCACCCGCACATACAGTGAGAGATTGCCAATCACCCTGGAGCCACAAAACACTCCACAGCTTCTTTTTTTTTATATAAAGGTTTCTATTTTTGCTTGTCCCTCCACTGAGCCACATATATTTTTTTCTGCACGAGGAAAGCAATAGAATGGTGCAATGTGGTTCTACGATATATAATATTTAATATAACACAGTTGGCAAATGCCACGGGATCTCAAAGGTGCGTAAAGTGGAGCATCTAATAGTTTATTCTTTAAAAAGGGTCAGAATCCGGGATGATCAAAAGAGCTCATTTTTCATCAAAGCCTCCTTTCAGATGTGAGTCGAGAATATTTTGCACCATTTTCAATGCGCTGTGGATGGAAATAAAACCGTGAGCAGTAAAAACCAAGGTTGGCACAGCAGGTGTGCAACATAGATTTTTTTTTCCCTTTGCCAAGCCGAATTAAAGAAGTGTTTCTTATGGAGGACTATTTTAGCTGCAGAAAAAAAAAAAAATGTAAAGTTATTTGTGAGATTTTTCTTACAAAAAAGCTAAACAAACAAAAGCAGTGAGAGCTTAAAAACTTAAAACTTAAGAACAAGATTTGTTTCCTCTGAATTGCGACAAGTTTTTGTGTTCTCAAGTTTACAGACTTTCTTGCAATTCTGTTTATCGCACACTGTTAAAAATTGCTGTTAATTTACGGCAAAATTTTAACAGTATAATCCTGTTATTGTCAAAAGCAGTATGTTGCTGTTTTTTTACGGTTTTCGAAATGACATAGACGAAATTTAACATTATTTTACTGTTTTTATCACACTAATGTAAAAAAACAGCAATCAACAGTATTTTTTGAACAGAAGCGTCAGCCATCACGTGGATTTTCATGCTTCTTTTTACTGTGACTTACTCGGTGAGTGCACCTCTATTTTGCTCATTTTACACAAAATACACATTTGTGATTGCACATAGGCTAACTGGATGCTGATATTGTAACTTTTTTACATCTATTTTAGTGCTAAATCTGTCAATGTGCAAACTGTATCTGCATTGAGTGGAACTGGATTTTTGACACAGATATTTCCTGATTACACGGTAAGTCAGACTATGATAATTAAAAATAATATAAGCTATAAGCTTTTCTACAAAGTCAGTTTTTAAACATATGTAGCAACAAAGTAGTATTGATTTATGTAGCATGATGAAAAGATTGTCATCTCATAGCTAATTTTAGCTTTAGCTTTTAATAGCTAGCTAATATGGCTTCAATGTAGGCTTTGATAAAACATTTATTTCCCTAATGCTGTGTTTGCAAATTTTACTGTTGTTGGTTTGTATTGTAATGCTACTTTGTCGAGTACAATTGGCTAATCACCACGATAAAATGTTTTATATGTCCATTTCAGCGCTGAACCTGTGAACATGCTAACTGCATCATAGAGTGGAGCTGGATTTCTGATACAGATATTGATTACTGATTACAAGGTGAGTTTAATGAAACATGATTACATGGTAAAGTTAATTATTATTGTCTATATGGCATTATTGTCCTAATAACTAAAAAAACAATTAAAAAATTTTACGCATACATTATGGTTGTTAATTTTGTCTCTTTCCACATCATTGTAATTCTTGTCTTAGGCATCTTCTACTGTACCTGATGTAGAAAAGACCCTTGAACTACCTGCAATTCCTTGACTGATACTTTTTGGTATGTTTAGAACTGTATTTTATTACTTAAGCAACCAAGGGTGTTTTCTCTGTATTTTAGCAAACATGGTAAATTCTTTTAAACAAAACAAAATACACAAATACATAAATTAAATGTTCTGCCATACTTTCCCCAAGCTTTCATTCACCTTTGGAAAACATTTTATTAAATTTACTATATAATTCAATTTTAGTTGTTTAACACATCAGCTATGTTGATCATAAATATTAAGTTAAATAAATCACAAACATTGCAGTGACAATTTCACAATACACTGTATATACATGTTGATTTCAGTGGCTGTCCAGGTGGGTCCACAATCAACATTTTCAAATACATTTATTGTGTTAAAAGAACAGGCCTTTGAGACTAAGTAAAATTATGTCAGCTTCCCTCACATATATGTTCAACTAGGCAGTAGAAAATATGATTTCATGTGACTGCTGACATTGTTTTTTTTTTTTTTCTTTTAAACGTTTTAGGAGAAAAACCCGGAAGCTACATTCATAAATGGATGATTAGTTTTGAGGGGCAAATAATCTGAGAGAGCATCCAGCCGAGTTTTCTGTCTGGTATAGCTGCTGTGTTTTCAACTTACTACATTTTCAATGTGGAGAACCAAGCTGAGGCTGCATGCACATTGGAATTAATTCAGAGGTTAGACGCTTAGATTCATATATTTATTTATCTTCACATTATTATTATTTAAACTTTAACCCACACTAATTATGAATGTATGCTTTTTTTCAGGAGCTTCATGGGTAAACCCTGAACAAGGCTCCAAGAGTGGACACATCCTATCGGGGAAGGTCACCCACAAAAAGAATTCAGTCAACACTAAGGTTGCCAGTTTACTTAAAGATGCTAATGGACTTTGAGTAGGATTTCATATAAGTGACACCACACACACACACACACACACACACACATCTTACACATCCTCGTCACTAATGGCACTCATTTTATTGTGTTAGTCGCATAATTTTTTCAGGTGTTTGTTTTTGAATACCTAAACTGTTCATTGCATTGTTTTTTATTTCTTAATGACTAATTCTGTAATTGACTCAGAAGTTTTCAGAGTAGTAATTGTTGTAGTAATTCTACTTGGTTTTCCATAGCCACTAATTTTGAAATATATAAGTGTAATAAGATGTAATAAAAGTTGAAGTTACACTGCATTTTTTATGTTTCCAATAAGGCTATATGTGTGCATTGTATTAAACTGTGTTTTTATAACAAATAAAAAATTTATATATACCCGTTTTCTTAGCAGTTCATTTCTCAGGATAACATATTTGTAGTTTACAGTTAAAAATTCAAATAAACATTAATTAACCGTTAATTTTAACAGTTAATTACTGTTAATGTAGAAAATAACAGCTTTATGCTGTATTTTTTAAAAACAGTAACAACCTGTAAATTTCAACTACAGCTAGATGCTGTTAATTTAACAGTAACTTGCTGGCAACTGTGCTGCCAGTAACTTACTGTTTTTTAACGGGACAATTTTTAACAGTGCACGATTCAGAAGAACAAAATGTCACAAACTCAGAATGCTTCTTTTTGCTAGTGTGATTTAATAGCCTCTCACTGATTCATAATTATAAAAAAACAAGATATAAACTCAAAAATGTCAGAAGTTCCAATCATAAGCTCAGAATTTTGAAAATGTCGAAAATATGAGTAATAAACTCTTATTTATGAGCTAAAAAAGGCAAAGCGTAAGTTATAAGTTTGAAAGTATGATTTCGCATCTGAACTGACTTGTTTGCTCTCAAAATTGCAGCTTGATTCAATTCTGACTATATTTTATACAATTCTGAGGTTTTTTAACCTTAAAACTGTAAGATGTAAACAAACAATTTTTATTTCATAAGATTATCATTTGAGAAACCTGCAATTGTGAGAAAATTTATACTACTGATATATACTCAGAATTTGCTTATTGGATTATTTCTTGAAATTCTGCCATTATTTTTTTGCAGTTAGGAGTTTATATGCTTTCTTGTCCACGAAACTCAAAATCCCAAAGATAAACAAAGTCTAAGTTTTTTTTTTTTTTTTTTTTTACTTTTTAATTCTGCTTTTTTAATTACTAAAAAATAGTTTCTTGTGACTGGGAATCTAAACTCTCTCATAAGCTTTTCTTTGGAATTAAAAAATAGAAACTCAAAATTGCAATTGAAGAAAATCAAGTGGTAAAAATTCTGAATGAACTGCAAGACATAAACCTAGAATTCTGAGGGGAAAAAAAACTCTAAATCAAGATTTTAAAGCTCAATTCTTACTATTTATCTCTGAATTGTGCATTTAAATCTTGCAGTTGACTTTTCAGATTAGCATGATATACTCTCAGAAATAAAGGTAAAGGAGCTGTCACTGTGGCACTACCTATTTAAATTATACATATTTGTACCAAAATAGTCCACAATGGTACCTAAAAGGTGCAAATTAGTACACAAATGTACCTAACACGTACCTTTGAGGTACCATTATGGACCCTTCAGGTATAAATATGTACTTTTTGAAAAGGTACTGCCCCAGTGAAAGCTCCTGTACCTTTATTTCTGAGAGTGTTTAATTCAAAATTGACATTTTATTACTACTAGTAAACATTTATTTTCAAAATGGGATGTACTCAATAATGCTGAACACTGCACTATACAAGATATACTCAGAATTCTAACATGCTTCTTTCCCTCCAGAACTGTTTTTTGCAGTTATGAGTTATAAGGCTTTCTTGCAATTCTGAGGTCATGTTTGTTAATTCTGAGCTCAAACATGTCAGGATAAAGTCTGAGTTTTGATTTTAAATCTTAAAGTTCTGCTTTTTTCCCTCCTAAAAATAGCAACATCATTCCATGACTAGGAAAAGGCTTTCTCACAAGCTTTTCTTTGAAGTTACAACACATAAACTCACAATAAATTTCTTATCTGAAAAAATAAATAAAAAAATCAAGACTGAGGTAAAAAGTGAGAATTGCGAGACATGAACTAGAACATTCTGAGAAATTCTCTCCTAAAAGGAATTCTGAGTTTATATCGGAATATTCTGACTTGTTTCTAAGACTTCTGTGATAATAAATTCACGACTGAATATTTTTTTTTACTCAAAATAAAAATAAAGTTTATGCTTGGTTGAGTTTGGCTTCGTTATATTTAAACTTTTTTACATAAGAATTCTGAGTTTGCACCTCAGAAAAGGCACTTTTTAAAATACTCTTCCACGGAATTTACCCTTAACAGCAAACACCCTGGCTATGGCTACAGTAATACGGTAGTAGCTGACCATTCCAGATGCGAAATTCATTATATACGCTTCCGATTTTTAAGCCATTTATCCCGCGAGTAACACTGTCAAATATGCCACCTGCATAATGTAGAAGCGTAGCCTGGTACAGCGTTGTTTATGCATACCTGAGCGTAACCATTTTAATTGCACCAGTCATCAAATGTGTCCAAAAAATGCTTAGTGAATTCGCAGCTTTAGGCTAATTTGAAACCGCCAAGACAGATTTCGCACTCTTGACAAGGCAATTTCGGCTTTCCCTTGATGCATGGGCTTACTTTAACGGAGCGTTTCACAACAGGACGCTGACAGACCGAATCTGATTAAATGATGTGAATGTGTGCACCTGTAAGTATGATTTCAGCTGGAAAGCTTGACCCTTAGTCTACATCACAGCGGCGAGGAGATTAATGATGTGCTCCAGACGGCTGAAGACAAGCAGACTAAAAAGGATCAGACTGACTCACTCACTCACTCACTCAAAATATCCAGCGGGACAACTTTTAAAACTAGCTGCTTTTTTAAGTATGCATGAGTCAAAAGTTTGCACACACTTGACTTTTTAGTCGCATGACCTTAAATGACTTTGCTAAAGTAGTTTTATAGGCAGAGGTTGAGCAATTTTAGATTTTGCCGATACCGATAGCTAGGATGGACTGAATTTGCTGATAACCAATTAATTAAGTGACAGTTTCTTTTAAATAATGATGATAATTAAACAAACTATTCAAAGATTAATTTACTAAATAGGGCTGCACATAAATAATTTCAACATCGATATCGCAACATGCAAGTCTGCTATAGTCATATGAAACCTTTCACAAGCCAGTTACGACACATTTAATGGTCATCATAATCGTAAATCCTTGAAAGTTTTTCATATTTCGATTTTTTGAAATGTACATTTATATGTACAGTGCATCCGGAGTGTTCATTGCGCTTCACTTTTCCCAAATTTTTTGTTACAGCCTTATTCCGAAATAGATTAAATTAATTTATTTCCTCAAAATTCTACACACAATACCCCATAATGACAATGTGAAAAAAAAAGTTTTTGAAATTGTTGCAAATTTATCAAAAATAAAAAAAACAGAAAAAAATCACATGTACAGAAGTACTCACAGCCTTTGCTCAATATTATTTTCAGATTTCTCCAGAGATGTTCAATAGGATTTAGGTCTGGGCTCTGGCTTGGCCACTCAAGGACATTCACCGAGTTGTTGTGAAGCCACTCCATTGATATTTTGGCGGTGTGCTTTGGGTCATTGTCCTGCTGGAAAATGAACCGTCGCCCCAGTCTGAGGTCAAGAGCACTTTGGAGCAGGTTTTCATTCAGGATGTCTCTGTACATTGCTGCATTCATCTTCCCCTCTATCCTGACAAATCAGCCAGTTCCTGCTGCTGAAAAACATCCCCACAGTTTGATGTAGCCACCACCATGCTTCACTGTAGGGATGGTATTAGCCTGGTGATGAGCGGTGCCTGGTTTTCTCCAAACCGAACTACTAGCATTCACTACAAAGAGTTTTAGACACAATTTTAGTTTCATCAGACCAGAGAATTTAGTTTCCTATGGTCTGAAAGTCTTTCAGATGCCTTAAGGCAAATTTCAGGTGGGGAGTGGCTTCCGTCTAGCCACTCTACCATACAGGCCTGATTGGTGGATTGCTGCACAGATGGTTATCCTTCTGTAAGGTTCCCCTCTCTCCACAGAAGAATGCTGGAGCTCAGACAGAGTGAACATTGAGTTAATCATCACCTCCCTGACTAAGGCCCTTCTACCCTGATCACTCAGCTTAGATGGCCGGCCAGCTCTAGGAAGAGTCCTGGTGGTTCTTAACATCTTCCACTTACGGATGATGGAGGCCACTGAGCTCATTGGGACTTTTAAAGCAGCAACCTTCCCCAGCCTTGTGTCTCGAGACAATTCTGTCTCTGAGATCTACAGACAATTCCTTTGTCTTTATGCTTGGTTTGTGCTTTGACATGCACTTTCAACCCTAGGACCTTATACAGACAGATGTACACCTTTTCAAATCATGTCCAATCAACTGAATTTACCACAGGTGAACTCCAATTAAGCTGCTGAAACATCTCAAGAATGATCAGTGGAAAAAGAATGTACCTGAGCTCAATTTAGAGCTTCATGGCAAAGGCTGTAAATACTTCTGTACATGTGATTTTTTTTCAGCTTTTTAATTTTTAATAACTTAGCAATAATTTCAAAAACTCTTTTTTTTCACATTGTCATTATGGGGTATTGTGTGTAGAATTTTGAGGAAATAAATTAATTTATTCATTTTGGAATAAGACTGTAACATACAAATATGTAGAAAAAGTGAAGAGCTATAAATACCTTCCGGATACAGTGTGTGTGTGTGTGTATGCATGTATGTATTATATCATCTTTGCATTGCTTATGCGAGCTGTTTTTAATGCAGCTTCTATGGGACAGGACAGTAAATTTTGTTATTCTCTCTTCTCATACTTTTTCTGAAAGTCTTGATAACATGCTCATGGGGTTTTTCTTTGATTGTTTTATCATTAATATTTGTCGTACTCTCTCATTCACTGTGCTCTAAGTTTAACTGACAATGATCGCTTCTGCTACAGAGAAACTCGGACATGTGAAAAGGGGCCAATGCAGGATTTACATATTTTGCATTTTATTACTAAATAGCTCAACCTAAATATTGCTAGACTTTACCAAAAACCATAAAGCACTGTTTATTTCATTTGTATTTGTTCTACTTTTTGAGTTTTTTTATGTATATTTTAGGAAAATGTTTTATATATATATATATATTTTTTTTTTACAGATTCACTCCCCTTCAAAATCACCTCTCCCAATTGATGCACAGTCATGAATTCTTTACAAATTGAGTTTTTATTCATTCACTTTTCTTCGGCTTAGTACCTTATGAATCAGGGGTTGCCACAGCGGAATAAACCGGCAACTTATCCAGAATGTTTTACACAGTGGATGCCCTTCCAGCTGCAACCCAGTACTGGGAAAAACCCAAATACGCTCACATTCATTCACACTATGGACAATTTAGTTGAATCAATTCACCTATAATGCATGTCTTTGGGCTGTGGGGGAAACCGAAGCACCCGGAGGAAACCCATACCAACACAATGAGAACATACAAACTCCACACAAAAATGCCAACTGACCCAGCCAGAACTCGAACCAGCAACTTTCTTGCTGTGACTTTTCATATAACATATTCATTTAAATTTACAGTTTTACATTTACTTATAAACTATTTTCTTTTCAAAAGATTAATAAATTGATTAAACCAATTAAACCAACTTGGGAAACAACGTGAAACAAAGCCAATGAACAGTGATGTTACAAATGCTAAATAATCTTCTTTAACGGGGCACCTTCACAGAGCAACTTTGTTATTTAATTAACCTAGAAACTAATTCCAGCTCTCATATGGGAGAGCGACCTCCTTTTGTGTCAGCGGCTTCATTATATGGAATCTATATGCCAAAAAACTAAAGACGCTTATTTTTACTGACCCCAGTAAATACACAATGGCTAGTCAAAATCAAAATACATTTCTATGTAGCTGACAAAACGATCAAATGAACTCAGAATTGAATCCTCATGTGCATGCTTTTTCAGGCACTGAAAATACAGCAGCTAATTTCCTTGATTATTACACCAGAATTTGAGTACATCAACCTATAACTTAGCAACTTTTCATTTTATGTCAGTCTTAGTAAACAGTGCAACTACAGAAGAGTCAAGCTTTTTTTAAAATTATATATATATATATATATATATATATATATATATATATATATATATATATATATATATATATATATATTGAACATGATGCTAATGGTCTAATCTGATTGAATGGTTTATGCTAAGCTAAGCTAATATGGCTCCTTCCAGCCCCAGATAAGATGAATAGAATAAAAATTGTAAAAGTTAGGTGCCTTGTAAAATGAGCATATTTCCAAAGCAGCAATACTTTTCCTTCCTACAAATCGTCCAAACTTTTTACAAACGGTTTTCAGTGCTATCATAGAAGAACAATTTTGATTACCCAAAGAAACATTAAGTTAAACTTTCAGAAAATAACCATTTTATTAGTGCGTGGCACTTTTTAATAACCTAAAATAATCATTTCATTATGGGGCGTCATGTTGGCGCAGTAGCACAATCACCTCACAGCAAGAAGGTCACTGTTTGAGCCTCGGCTGGGTCAGTTGGCATTTCTGTGTGGACTTTGCATTTTCTCCCCGTGTTTGAAAGGGTTTCCTCCAGGTGCTCTGGTTTTCCCCACAAGCCCAAAGACATGCGGTACAGGTGAATTAAGTAAGCTACATTTTCTGTTGTGAATGTGTGTGAATAAGTGTCAATGGATGTTTCCCAGTTATGTGTTGCAGCTGGAAGGGCATCTGCTGTGTAAAACATATGCTGAATAAGTTGGCGGTTCATTCCAGTGGCAACCCCTGATTAAGAGACTAAGCTGAAAAGAAAATGAATAAATGTATTTCACTACATCAATGTCAATAAACAACTTTTGTTTCAAACACTTTAAAATAGTTACTTTCTAATTTTGCATGGTAAAGTCAAGTGGGCGCTGCATTGTGGGATACAGTATTCTTCGTAGTGTACTACACATATGTTGTAGGTCAGTTACTAGGAGTATTGACCACAGACTCAGAAATCAGGTCGACTGTACAAACTACAGTATTACAACATTATTAAAATGTTCAATATGTCGTCGCTCGTCGACCCCTTCTTACATTTCACTTTTTTGTCAATTAGTTGCGTACTAAGTCCAAAACAAAGTCAATAATTTACACTACAACATCCAATGCACCTGTAGTTTAGCGTAAGGAGACCACGCTGGACTGACAGGACACGCTGCAGCTTCTACTAAGGGCAAACAGTGGGCGAGAGATAAACCTCGTGATGAATGGATACAACTGTAATACATACACACAACTTAAGAACGAACCCATTTGGCACAGGTAAGAATTCATTGCCGAGTATGAATGATTTGAGTCGCGTGTCAAAACACTCACCTAATATCTTATGTACGTGCTGTGCGTCGCTCCGTTCAGTAAGACATCACGCTGACGCTCGTTGTTTCCCGGGTCCTAAAGCCCGTCAAGTCACAAGAATAAAGACCATTTTGAGGGATGTAAACAAAAACAATGGTCCCAACGTATTTCCTGTTTTACATTTTTAATTTCCATAGCGTTTGAGGATCCAAAAAAGAGCCACATATTTTTATATAATGTTATGATAGCGGTTTTAACATTAAGTTATGATGTAATTGCCTCATGTTACAGTTATGAAATAGTGTGAAACAAGCAGGAAATGTTCATGGGACAATGACATGACCACACTGTAAATCCAGTATACATTATTATACATTATCAAGTATATATTATGCAACATAACTAAATAACCTAACAAATTTTAAATTATTAAACAATAATTTATGACTAAATTCATTCTTTTCTTAAAGGACCCCTAAAATGTATGCTATTTACTCTCCATCGAATGTTTTCCAAACCTTTATGAGTTTCTTTATTCTTTTAAACACCAAAGAAGATATCTCAAGGAAAGCTGAAAGCATGTACTGTAACCACACACTTCCATAGTAGGAAAAACAAATACGGGAGAGAATGGTTAGAGGTTTTCAACTTTTTACAAAATACCTAAATGAAATTACCTAAAATAAAAAGTAATCTCTTACTTTACCTTTTCAGCAGTAAAGGTATTTAATAAGAGTAGTTACTTTGTGGCTAATTACATCCAACACTTAAAATAATAAGACCTCATTTTATTTTTTAACTATTGTCAACAAGGCTCAAATTATAGATTGTTGAAATTATTTAAAATATATTTCATACAATAATGAAGATTAGACTTGTCTGACAATTGCGCATGCTTACAAAACTTTAAAAAAAGTGATGAGTCGAGTAATTAAATTACTTCTTGAGCAATTTAATTACTTTTCAGACAAATCATTAGGATATTTAAATAGCTTTAATTAATAATTAGTTATTATTTATTTTTTTGAAGTAACTTATCCAATACTGACCATGAACGACATGACAGGTTATGTCATGTTGTGTTTGTGTTCACAAAAACTAATATGCTTCTATGTCCAATAAACACACAATTACCATTTTTATCGTGTAGCTTTTAGGCAACTTTTTGGTCCTTCAAGGTTCACTGAATATTCTAAGGTTTCCACCAGAAATAACAAATAGTAAAGGTGTGTTTTGAAAATGTGCTGTTAATTGAATCCCTCCCAGGCCATCCAAGATGTAAAAGACTTTTTTTTCAGTATTTTTAAGAGACATCAAATTGCGAGACATCAGTTAGCAGCACTGAAAATAAAAACACATGCAGGAAACACAAATTGAATACCTTCTGAAAATACATTGAGGTTTATGATACAAAACAATCTGGCTGTGCAAGACACTGTACATTATTTATTTACATACTTTTTAAATGTAAATAATGTTAATTTCTTCCACGGAATGACAGAAATCTTGAGAATGATTTTTTTTTTTTTTTAACTTTTAATGTGTCAGTACTGTAAGAATTGAAATATTGCAAATATTCTGATATCTTTGACAATTCAAAACATGAGCTGAAAACAGAGACTGGTGACTTCACAACCCACCAGGGAGGAATGCGGGAAAAACCAGTTCCTGCTGCATTTGCATCTGACTATGCTGAGACTCAGCTTCATCCCCCAACTCACGCATATGGTCATTTCAATGTTTGAATGTTTTAGATTAACCAAACTGACTTTAATTATCATGTTTGATATCATTTGAAATGTCTCAGTGCGATTGGTACAATGGTCTCATTCTCTCAGAAATAGACATAATCAGAACAATAAATATATAACTTCAGGCATCTTTTGAACCACTGTGAGGGGTGTGACACTAAGTGTGAATGCCTTTTGTTATACATTCACACCCCCTTCCTTGAGGGAATTCTTGGATTATTTTAAGTAAGGCCTAAGAAAAGCTCGGCGCGATTCTGCCTAACCAGATCAGCCCATAACATGGGGTCTGCCCCATGTTATGTATATTTCAAAGTCAGGTATGCACCTTTTCATCTTGGATTTATCTTTGATAATTTGATGTTTTGTATTGATCATTTATGAATTGACTGATTGAATTGGCATAATACATTTACCTGACCAATAAATTGTAATGTTTGACCATATTTTGCTCACTCTGTAATTATTAATTCAAGTAGATTACGCTGTATCCTTGTTTCCGCACGTCTTGCGTCAGGTCAGTAGACGGACTAAAATCCAATTGAGATGGAGCATTGGCACACTAATTGTGTTTTAGCGATCCGGCTGACTCTTGATATTGATTCATGTGTACTTAGGTGGAAAGGGCGATAACTTCCGTCTAGGTCAACAAGGTGTTGCACGACTAACCTAGATTGGGTACCCGACCTTTGTTTGAAGGTAATATTATTCTAAATTAAGTTCATATGGGAAACCATGGGCTTGGTGAAAACCAAAGTTACTATAGAGTCCAGTAGTCGGGTACATTTATATTAATGCCCTAACCTCTAATTAGAAATGATGATTGTCTTAACTCAAAGGTGTACATCTAAGCGGGACTAATTAAAGTATTTTAGAACGAGCGCGCTGGTAGCGGCCATCTAAAGTATTAGTCAATTTACCTCTGTTTAATATTCAAGACTGACCGGAGTGTGACCGTGAGGGATGCCTTCGGCCGAGGCGATTTCTCTGAGCGACATGAGCACCCGAATGAACGGATGTAATAGTTACTAGTGAAGACAAACGGCTCAAACATTTATCTAAATTACATATTGATATAATCTTCTTAATGTTTTATAATTGGAGTCAGATATGAGTTAAGTTTAATATAAATCAACATTGTGCACTGGAAAGACCGAACATGCAGTGAACCTTCATCCACCAGTGGACACCGGCATTGGGCCAACTGGGTGGACCTTACAGTACAGTAGCTGTTATACCAGCTGTTTTACCAGTTTATAATCTTTTAGCTAAGCATAAATCATTGAATCGGATTAGACCATTAGCATCTTGTTCAAAAACGACCAAGTACTGTAGTTTCTATCATTTTTCTCTTTAAATCATGACACTTCTGTATTTGCATTGTGTACTAAGACTGATGGAAAATGAAAAGCTGCTAATTTCTAGGTCGATAAGGCTAGGAACTATAACCTCCTTCTTGCGTAATAACAAACAAATTTGCTGCCGTAGACACAATGATATTACACAGCACCTGAAACTGGTCCCCAGCGATAGGTAACTTTCAACTTGACCATTAACATCACTTTTTTGTTTATTTTTGAGTGAGATGCTAATGGTCTAATCCGATTCAATGATTTATGCTCAGCTAAGCTAAAAGCGCTCCCGCCAGACCTGGAGATAAGCGGAATTAATTATAAAAAAAAACGTAAAACTCAACTGTTTAACTCCAGGATAGTTGTAAATTGAATAATAAACATATTTACAAATTAAAAAATAAACAATAACACATAAAAGGTGACATTTTACATCAATCAATCTTTATTTGTTTGATGGTTAATATTCAACATTTACAAATAAAAACTTTAGTTGCAACATTCAAAGCTATGAACTGGTTACATTTTCATATAAACACCTTTTGTACAAAATCTGTAACACAGGCTATATGGAATACTTTCATCCCATCGTATGATATAAAGTACAACTTTACAAGTTCAAAAAATTGAACAGAAAGAGTATAATCCATAAAAAGGAGGGTGAAAGGAAAGAACAGGAGAGGAGAAATGCAAGCGTGGCTAGAGCTGAAGTCTTGAGCATCGGCAATCTATCCAAATTACAAAACATGATTGCCTAAAAATGAGCAACTCTCGGAATATAGGAATATGAGAGCATAGCTGCAAAATATTTTACAAAGGAATTGTATACGGTGCCCATCTGTACGTACTTTGCAGTTATTCCAGATTTAATCCGTTAGGTTTGATTCTTCACTCTTTCACTTTTTAGTTTGCCAAAAAAATAAATTTTTATTCAGCTACAAAATGTGATGATATAATAAAATCACAAGGGCGGATTTTTGACATTTTTATTATGAAGTAAACTGACAGCCAATATTCAAAAAGGCTGCTTGTGTTTTTTAGTTAAGAATTAAGTAATTTTCATCATCCAATATTTAATAAAACCAGTGTAGGCTATTGAGCTGGCAGTGAAAAAGCTGTTTTTTACATTTATTTTCCCTCAATTGTAGGTCAAAATGTGGTAGGTTTTCTTCCGTGGGAAGGTAGTATGCTACGACACTTGTTAACGTTTTTGGCGAATTCCTATAAATTTGAATGTGAAGATTTGTTTCAGTATACAATCTGCTTAAATATCACTGATGCTTATATTTACAAGTAGAATTTCATGCTTAAAACACTACCTGATGAAAGTCTTGTCGTCAATCCCAGTTTTAAGAGTAACAATTTATAACCTAATTTCTAGTTGAACACTTGCAAAAGTGGCAGAAGGTAGATTTTTCTGATGGATCATCAGTTGAACTGCATCCCAATCATCACAAATACTGCAGAAGACCTAGGAACCCACATTAACCCAAGTTTCCCACAGAAATCAGTCAAGTATGGTGAGAAAAAAGTCATGGTTTGAGATTACATTCAGTATAAGGGTGTGTAAAAGATCTGCAGAGTGGATGACAACATCAACAGCCAGAGGTGTCAAGACATTTGTGCTGCTCATTACATTACAAACCACAGGAGAGCAAAGAAGGTCAAGGTGCTCCAGGATTGGCCAGCCCAGTCACCAGACATGAACATTATTGAGCATGTCTTGGGTAAGATGAAGGAGGCGGCATTAAAGATGAATCCAAAGATCTTGATGAACTCTGGGAGTCCTGCAAGAACGCTTTCTTTGCCATTTCAGATGACTTTATTAATAATTTATTTTAATCATTGCAGAGATGTATGGATGCAGTCATCCACGCTCATGAGAGTCACACAATATTAATTCTTTTTCCACTGCACCATGCCTTTATATTCTATACTAGACATTATTTCTGTTAATT